ATTTTCAGCATTTACGGTTTTTAGGACAAGAAATGCACATGAAACTTGTATTCACTGATACTCGGGAATACGTGTAGACCTAGCGAATTGCTCAACAAACACGCTTCAAACTAATGTATATTTATCAATTGTTGTAACTGTATATAAATTTTACTGTGTATTTTACATATGTAGACCCGTTCTTTAATCTGTGACTCAAATGCATTAAAACATTATCGGAAAGCAGTAAAATTCCAAGCATGTTTCCTTAGTATTTTTATGGTACTCACTCGTAACGAACTTCATTTAGCTGATTGGTCAGTTAGAAAGTATTGCCAGTGCCTTGATTAGCATATGAATTTATTCTTATGTCAGAAAATCCATTTCCATGGATCTGTTCATAATGGGAAAGGCCAGCTAGATTTTACATTTTTTTTAATAGCATGTGAGCGCAGTTAGGTACAATTTTCTCCTTTCACATATAGGTAGATTTCATTAAAATACAGTGACCAGCCAAAGGAGAAATTTGTACCTATCTACGCCCGTATATTTTAAGGGCTTCAAAGAGTGGGGCGGGGTCAAAATTCAATAGGAATTGGATGTAAACATGATACACCTACCCAAATAAAAGATCTATATCTTTGAAATCACGTTTCTATTTTTGTTAAAAATGGTATTTCATATAGGTATACATATCAGTGATTACTTACATACAAAAATTTGAGTAAAATTCGGACATTTAATTTTTGTCAATTTTCCGGGGGCCGCAAGTCACCTCATCCTTTGGTAAAATATGACAAACATTCAAATTTACAAAATGCAGACCTTTTTTCAGAAGGCCATTCTTTGAATCACACACATTTTGTTTGTCATCATTCTGGATGTTTGTTATTGGAGAAGGGTTGTTAAGTTTTTTTTTGCCGATTTTATTTCAAAAGGGCTTTAAGTTTACATAGATCTGCACTCTCAGATTCTGAGCAATATTCATTTGACTTATTATTAGACAAAAGACAGGTGCAAACTGATTCATTACAGTCAAAACAAAGATTAATCAATGGGCGAAAATAATTTTTGACCTTGCTAATAATCGGACAGTCATTCGTATAAGCGGCACAGCTTTCATTGCCGCGATCCTACTTTGTGCAAAATTTCTGCTTGTGGCCATGTTCACCACAGTACCAACAAGTTACTTTGTTGCCGTGGCGACAGTTGCGCGAAGAATGACCATGCTCTCCACAGTAATAGCAGGTCTGGACGGAGGTGGGATTTTGATGTTTAAGAATTTGCACATGAGTACTGTAGAGCTTCAGAAGCGAAGCAGTGCCACGGTCGGACAAATGGATGCCATCTCTCCAAAAAGAAGGGGAATTCCAGTGTTTGAATGACTTACTCGATTCGATCAACACAGCACCGTACTCCTCACAAACATATCTAATGCACTTATTCACTTCGATAACATCTGCATCCCTTCTTGGAATCACTTCCGATAGGAACACTGCAATGCTTGGATTTCTTTTCTTTAAATCAGCAACTATTTCTGCAAAGTCATTCTCAATCGCATCAATGTTACGGAAATTTGCAACATCATTACCCCCAGCCTGTATAATAACACTTTGGATGGAGGACACATCAAACCTCTATAGTTTGGAACGAATGTGTGCAATACTTGCACCTCGATTTGTACTTACTTTCACACTTTGATCTAGGCTACGGGTTTTTATCCTTTGAAGAATTGAACTCCCGATGACAAGTGTAGATATAGGGTTATATTCTCTTACAGGAGGCTGAGAATTTCTTGCGATGTTGCTGCGTCTGTTAGGGGTCGATATATTTTGACTCTCTTTTGAGATGTGTACATCTGACTTTTTCTTAGTCATTTTCTTCGTGGACTGGGTGGTTTTCAACACAGGGCTGGGACTGACATCTGCATCCATTGATGTACTAGAGGTCTTTTTTTCAATAGGAGATGTACACTGGGTATGCCTTGAAATCCCATTTGTCACCGAGAATCCCTCAGTCGTAGTTTCCTTCTGTTTCACTTTTTCCCCGGGAGTTTGTGTAGAAGCATTAGAACACGGCTTTGTTTGTTTTGCTTCCATTAGCTGCTTCTTCAGCGTTTCAACTTCTTTGGTAAACATTTTCACCGTCTCGGAAAGATGTTTTATGCTTTCTGCGCTGTTACAATGGCCGCATCCCGTCTCAATACTTGATTCATTCGATTTCTTTTAGGGTCTTGGGGTCGAAGTACAGTTCGTCTGGTCAACAATAATTTTGCACTCTGTAACAGAGTCAGTGTCAGTGTGGCTCATATCTAGTTGACTGTTTATTTCATTTAGAAAATCGTTCCTGTACCAATCAAACGCACTGGTCCCTTGTATCAGAATGGTATGTGTGCTACTGTTGATTGTTACAGTCACCGAATCACATACAGATTTGTAGATGCACCCATTCTTTTATTGTTTCTGTGAAATAAAAGGAATTTTCGAAGCAGAGATAAAACGAATTCTTGTCTCTGACCATCATAGTTTATGGTCACACTTTCTGTGTTTAGCTTAACCTGAAGAAAATCGGGTATACTCCCAGAAGGATCCAGTTCATTATTTTTTCCATTAAATGATTGTGAGAGTCCACTAAATGAGTTCAAAATTGATTTAAATAAACTAGAATTTACACTCAGATCCATCATTTCATTATCAGTTTATTTTTCAGCTGGATATAGATAAGAGCTCATAAAAAACACGTCTTATCTCTCCAACAGTCTAACACATATATGAATTCTATTTGGTCTTCACTCCTTTATAAAGTAAATAAGTTACGTCCCTTTCTGAAAAAAATATAGCATAGCATATACGCCATAAACATGTCAAAAGTTTTCCCCTAAACCTTTACAAAGGACTTAAAATACAAACATTTATCTTTCATTATAAAAAGAAACAAATTCTGATTTGATTATATACAATTTAAGAAGTTTTTGAAATGAAAGAGGAGTATCGAATGTTTAGAATGTATCAAACAAAATTTATTAAAGTAGCTCAGCAGGAATATTTGTTCAGTATTGGGCAAATAAATTGATTGATTTTTACATTGCATATACATGTATAAAAAGGATTGGAAATGTGTCGGGAAAACTTGCTTGTGAAAGGACTGATTTATTTGATTTAGAATGTCACAGATATTAAATTGCATTATAGAATGATGTCAATAAACTGTTGGCTTCTTCGTCTTATCTCAATTAATGCACATTAAATGGATTAACAAACTGTATATATAATACTGAGTCTCATTTATTTATGGACCACAGTTTGTCAAATTTCATCAACCTCAAATCATTTAAATAGGAATATGGAACTTCTGTCAAGAAGTACTGACTTATCAGAAATTAGCTCAATAAATGTGCTCCTGCTCAAGGGATGTACAAATAGTCAGAAAACACAATCTCTTCCAGTTACAATTATTCATTTAGAAGAAAAGATTTTTTTAAGGGACCATTAAATTTACATTTATTCTAACGTCTTGAGATTTTGCGTTCAAACCATCACACCAAGGGTAGTGTGGGGTCAAAATGGGTGATCAACATTTTATATAGCAATATATTTTGTCTAGTCCTTCTGTCTATCTGTTAACTGATCCCATTTTCAACTTCTTACCCAGAACCACAGGGCCAATATCAACAAAACTTGCCAATAAGCATCTTTGGATGAAGGGAATTAAAAATGCTTTAAATGGAGTTTTATGAAGAGACTTAATTTTACATTCAACAGCTGACTTTTACATTTTAGTAATTGGAGTTTGTCTCTGTTTAAATTGTAGAGGTCAATCGTCGATTGTAAAAGTAAGTCTCTTCATACATGTAAAACTCCAATACATTGTGAAAATTTCATGGTATGCTTTTAAATACATCCTAAAATACAACTGGGTCAACAAAGTTTATGGGACATTTTCTGTACTTTGTGTTAATTCAAGTTTCTTCAAATCATGAACACTGGGGACAAGGAGGCACGGGGGGGGGGGTGGTCAAAAATTAAAATATAACTAGAAAGGTATAACCAAAATTTTAAAAAACCCATATTCTTAAGAAGAGCAAAACAATGTTTTGCCATATTGATATGGAAGTATCCATTGGTTGTGTAGATTGAATTTTGTTCATGAGCTCTTGGGGTAGGAAGGGGCGACGATGAGGGATCAAATTTCTACATAGAAATGTATAGATTGATAAAATCTCAAAAACAGCCAAGCCATGTTTATTCATACTGAAATTGAAGTATTATCAGGTAGTGTCAATTCAAGTCAGTGAGTGTTGAAATTCTGACCTCCACGGGTAAGGTTGGGTCACAATGGGGATCAAAGTTTTACATACTGGTAATGAAATATAGGGAATAAAAAAATTTCTCAGTATTATCAAAGCCATGATAAGGCGTTTTGAAAAGGAAAAGTTTGAGCAAATCATGACATTCTGGAGGTTACTAGGACGGGGCAACTTTCGGGGATCAAAGATTAATAAAGGAATATATATTTTAAAAAAATCTTAAAATTATGCTGAATAAAAGAGCAATTGGTTATATTTATATGAAAGCATCCTCAAGCTGTTAACAATTCAAGCCCCCCCCCCCCCCTTCCGTACACTTTTCAACACTTTACTGATTTGTTCTTTTTGTGCTGATGAGCTCTGTCGCCCATTTGCCTCTTGCTTCTTTTTTATACTTTACAAACAAATTCTGAGTCTTATGAGTGCAGGATGAAAACTATTAAATACTTCAATGAGTACCGGTAAATTAGATTTCTTGTTTATTCAAGTATATGTACCAATTTTATCTCAAAGATATATTATAATAATTATTTCTTGTACTATTATGGGCTCTAAATTAGAAATAAAATGTTCTGTTCTGTACAGGTATTTTAATACTTCTATAATTTTAAAGATCCTCAGTTAATGCAAAAGCTAAAAAAAATATTTGGAAATTGTAATTTTAATTTGTTTGATAAATGCATGCTAAAAACAATTCATGAGATGTGGATGATGTTTATTTCATGTATTGGATGACTTTCACTTCCCCTGAATCGAACAACCCTACCCACACCCTCCCCTCACTGTCCACACTCAGTCCACTAGGACGCTCTAGTCCACAATTATCCACACATCTCAGGAACTGTCCATTCTGATCTAGGATGTGTAGACAGTTATTGAGATAATCAGCCACAATGATGTGACCCATGGAGTCTGTCACTATTTGGGATGGATAGAATGATTTCTTTCCCCCTGGAGGTTTGTCGTTGTATCTGAATCTGACTTTTCCTGTCCTGTCCACCACTACCACTGTGTCAGCATTCTGATCAGAGGCCACTATGTCTCCATTGTTGTTCTCCACCACAAACACTTGATATTTTCCTCCTTGATAGATTGGATCTCCATGTTCATCTTTATCTATTTCCTGTGTAACTCTCTGTCCCTGATAACGGACTATTTTATAATGACTATTATCAGTAGTACACATACTAACTAGGATGTCCCCTGACCTGGTACAACACAGTTCTAATGGATGCCAGCCCCTTGGTGTGGTGATCAGTGTCTCTGTCTTCCCATCTCTGACAATGTTCACAGTTCTATTGGCACTATCACTGTATATCAGTTCTCCCTGTCTTGACACTATATTGTCATCAGGGAATTGAGTAATACATGTACTGGTGACAGTGAGAAGTCTGTGTCAGTGTGTCATATTTGAGTTAAATCTGTTACCAGAAAGTGAGAGAGAAAGAGACGAACAGGGAGAGAGGTTGAGTTAGCGAGAGGAAGAAAAACTCAGATAGAATAAGGGGAAAAAAATCTACCATTATAGCGAGGTATGAAACTTACAGTATATTTGAGATAACGTACAGTATTCAAGCTAAAGAGTCCAACAAACAATACAAAATAGGAGCAGAGCAAACACGGACCTCCAAAACACCAGATGTCATGGAGGAGTGAGCATCCCCTGCTGATCGTTCACAATAAATTTAGATGAAAATAACGTAAAGTATTCTATTTTTTTTTAAAAAGTAATTCAGATTCTTTTAATTAAGAATTCATTTACATTTTTAGAGAAACCTCAACTTCTAAAATCGCAACACTTTCCTTCTGTTTTCTGAGTTTGAGCACAGAATTTGCAGTTAAATGTAATCAGTGATTTCTTTCATCCTGACCTGTCATACTTTGTTTCTTTATTTTCTATCACTACATGTATAAACCCTTAAAATTTTTATTGCACCATTCTACAACTGAAGTGTCTCTACCAACATCGTTATGTGACTTAAAGCTATTCAACACTTTTTGACCCCCAGACTTTACAGATTGACTTGTAAAATTACAAAGAATTTAATATTTACATTGTAAAAAAAATTTTGTATGCAAGGAGATGTGTCAACAAATTTTGAGATTCACTTGGAATGTCAAAAAAACGTATTTGATATGTGCACTTCTATGACATAAAACATAGTAAATGCCTTATATATAGATAATAATAATGGTTGTAAAATGGATTTACTGTCAAATCCCATTACCGAATAGTCCAGATACTGAGTACTTGATACTAGAATATTCCACGTCTCGAGGTTTTCTAGTTAACAGTTTAAATGTTTACAATTTTAGGTTTGTAAATGATATCAGGTAAAGATGACAAAATTAATTTCAGGTATATATTGTAGGTGGAGTCCCAATTTAAAATCTAAAACTTAAAAAATGTAGAGGGTAAGCTTTAATTTTTTGTTTCTTTCAGCTCCCTACAGTTTTGATAGGGACACCCTGTTTTCAATACTAGAAAAAGAGAAAGAGAAGGTGACGGCAAAATTAGAAGAATTCGCCCAGCTTCTCAGAGACGCCAAGGTAAATTGGTCGTATATTGTTTAACATCCCTCTCGAGAATTTTCACTCATATGGAGACATCACTACTTGCCGGTGGAGAGCTGAAAACTATGTCCTATACTCGGCACTTGAGCAGTGAGGGGTCTTTTACGTACCTATACTTACTGATACACGGGACTTTGGTGTAAACAGTCTCATCCGAATGACCGGTATTCACGCTCAACATTGGGAATAAAAGCGCGACGTAAGGATCAACTCCTTACTTCACGACTCTAGACAAGACGCTCAAAATACTGCCATGCAAAAGTAAAAAGTTATCCGTCTGTGTAAAAAAAAAAAAAAACGTGAATCGATTGAGAAAGAATCTTACAAAAAGAACTATAGCGGTGCATTTTAAAACTGTGTATTCTAAAAACAAGATATTTTTCTGATAAATATAAACAGAAACATGTATATTTTGATGTCAAATATATATCTCTATATCCAGATACTATCTCCTCTTAAAAGCGAGTTTCGCATTAATTTTTTTTTACTGAATTATGTCATATACAGATATATTCGAATTCTGGAAAAGTGGATCATGAATCGTGAATTATGATTTTAATAATATATGACTGAACCCAAAGAAGTATGCTGTTTTATTTTAATTTTGAAGTCTGGTTCCTTTATTTGGAAAAAAGTATAATCTAACAAACAAACTTGATGATAAACGTGAAAGCTAACCTTTCAATCTTCAAATTCATGCACTTACTTATGCAGCAATAAACCATCATCATCTGATTCGATACGCGTGAGCATGCTCTGTGTATGAACAGTTTCTAGAAGGAGGTAGTTTATTGACAAACAAGTTGATAGTAAAAAACTAACAGAAGTCTCGTTTAAAAATCAATTCGTAAGTTCTATGTTCGATATCATGTCCTTGTCAGCAAATACAATTTATCACGTCATTTTTTTAGTGGCTTGCCTGATAGTTGGTTGTCGTTTATAGTCAACAATATATCAAAATGTAAACAAAGACTCTTTTTAATCCTTTAATCTGAAAGTAGGACCACGAGATTTACAAAATTATTGTATCTTTGGCAGAGGAATATGTCGACACATATATAGATCACACAGCCTCACATTTAAAATTATATTATAGTTTTTGTCATATCCATGAACACGCAAAGGATAAATTCAGTATATACTAATGTACATGTACCTTTTGGCTTCAAAATATGTTGATGCAGACGTCGGCCAGATTGATATGATGTACAATTTTCTTGTGTTCAATTTTTTGTACAATGTACAAAATCAGAAAATTTAATACTCGAAAGAGAAAGTCTTTGTCCATTTAATATCAAAAAGGGCTCGGTTGAACACTGGCAAAGAACTATATCCCTACCCTGTAATTTAAGATTAATGGTTAGAACCATTTGAATAGCATTTACTAGTAGTTTTGTAAATAATTTTTATTTTTCAACACTGGAGAGGAGTTATGATTTTGTACGAATCAAAATGTCAATTAGTACATAACCGTTTACAACTAGAGATAGTATGTTAAAATGAAAGTTTAATACTATAACAATTTACTGTTACATTCATTTTTACAGATAAATGGCACTGTTAAGAGCGTTCATTCAGCCAGCCCCGGTGAGGGAATCTGTAAAATGGCAAAGGAGGTGGAGGCGGATCTAATTATTACAGGGACACGTGGTATGGGGACCATTCGTCGTACGTTACTGGGCAGTGTCAGTGACTATATACTACACCACGCCCACGTCCCCGTCATTGTGTGCCGTGACTAGATCTAACAGGTCAGTCACGTGATTAGTAATCCAAACAGTTCAGTCACGTGACTAGATCCTAACAGTTCAGTCACGTGTTAATTAAATAACGGAAATAAGAATATGTAATGTTCTAATAGATATGTTTGTAACCAGACAGATGCACATGTGCCATATACGTGTACTTCACGTAGATATCTGTAAGAATGTAAATGTGGTGTTTATGTTATATTTGTTACAATCTAGAAATGTGATTCCAAACTCTTTATGTTCTTAGTTCATTCATATAATGAGAAAACAATAAATAAAGATACAATTTTTTGACTGATTGTGATTAAATTTACAATATGGTAAAAAAAGATACCTTTCTATGTTTAAATATACTGAAAGGAAAAAGACTCGCAGTGTAAACTTTTGAGATAAAACTCTTTTTTTACTTTTTCATATGTATTTCCAAGAATTTCTTACATTTAAAATCATCCTTGATAAAAGTGAAACCAAAATCGTAAGTGATTTTGACTGTCAAATCATGATACAACTGCAATCCCTTTAAAGTTAAAATCTGAAGAAGAAGGTATGGTTTTAGCTTTATTGCGCCCTAAAAATGTAATGACATCAAAAAGTTTTGAAACTGGCTTAAATATTAGTTAAATAGATGGCTCATAAAGCAGGAAAGAATATGGCATGAAGGTTTACCATTCTGCAAATGTGACCACATTAATGTGAAGCATTTCTCTATTTTCAACAGAAAAAGCCTTAAAATGGCACATTTCAAGGGTGATTTTCCTTTAGAAAATAGTGTCCACAGCTGTCGCCCACGTTAATTTTTCGATATTTTGTGCAAAATTCAATAACTAATCACATATCTCAAGATCTTTGTGGGCGATGCCTGTGAACAATGTTATCTGAAAGAAAATTCCATTGAAAATTGTTGTCTTCTGCAACTTTTTAAGAAAATACGGGAAAATGCACATGTTTATGACGTCATAATTAGCATTCAAAAACACATGTGAGAAAAATGACTTGTATGCTTTTTCTGCATTGAATTTCAATTATTTAAAAAGCATGAGTTTTCAACTTTTACACCAGTTTCATTTTTTAGAAAATCACAGGGCAAAATTTGTAAACGGGGTACATTTTTGACAAAAAGTTGATTGAAACAAGAATATCAGCAGCTCTCGTTTAAAGTCATCATTTATAAGTTCTATGGGCGATACAATTTGAGCATTAAACTTTTTTACAATCAAATGTTTCTTTAAAACAGTGTGAACTGATATGTTAGACAAATTTGCTATGTAACTGAAGTCAATAAAACATTTTCCGTTAATTTACCGATCATGACAAATAGCACATTGGTTGTTGTATGTCCTTGTTGACAGGGGATGTTCACTCCTTTTGATGCCCATTATATAATTTTTTTTTTTGTTTGTGTGAACTTTTGATAAATTGCTGTAAATTTCCTATTTCTCCATTTTTTTCATATACAAAATTCAGCTTTGGTTATTTGATGTTTTATATATGACTATATTTTTAACGCAGTGTCTCAAGTAGCCCTTGTTTTCCAGCTTCCCACAATGAAATTATGCGATGAGAAGTGGCCACATAAACTGTTATCAATTCATTAAAGATTCAATAATTAGAGAAAGTCAAGCTTAATGTTGTATGATTTCTATGTTGTATGTCATAGAGCTGATGACATTATGTATTGAACGCCCCTCGTATACTCTGCATGCAGTTAACGAACGTATATTGCTGCATAAGTAAAGGAAGTTGACGATAGAAAAGTTAATCATCACGTTTATCATATAGCTTGGTTATTAGATTAGTATTTACGTCTTTTTAAGTAAAATATCCAAGTATGAAACAGATGTGTCAGACTGTGGTATCATTTATCTCAAAGCTCATCAGGATATATCGTGTCGATGTGGGGATGGAAATTACTATTGTTAATTGACAAAACGTCGTCGATATCTAAATGTCGAGTTGAAGGCCACAGAAGGTGTTTTCTTCTTTTCACGCATAATGTTTTGCTCAAATTTTACTTCATATGAATATGAAAATAGGTCTGCTTATAACGGAGGGAAATTTGTACCCATGAGAATTCCAATAGATTGTAGGAATACAGGTTCCCAAAAACCACATAGATATTGTCAATCAGAAATTCAAGCATCTCTTTTATGTCAACTTCATAGTATTTGTTTGTGCAATCAGAACGTGTTTTAAAAAAGTAATTTTGTACATGACCAATGAACAGGTAAGTACATTTACGAGTTCCATTTTAATTTGAAAAGAAGCTGTCGATGATATCAAAAAGCCTGCACTTTAATTTATCGTGTGTAATACTTGTGTATAAAGTTGAATAGTTGTAAGATTTCAAAGAATAAGTGAATGTACATGACATATCATATTTCAGATAAACATTATTCTCCATTATAAGGAAAATAAGTAAATGTCCCTTTTTAAAGAAACCATAGCATGCATGCCATAAACATTTTAAGAGTTTTTTTCTCTAAACCTTTAACAAAGGACTTGGAATACCAACATTTATCTTTCATTTAAAAAAAAAGAAATTATAACTTTCAACTTTTTGGAACAAAAGAGGAGTGTCCGATGTTTAAAATGTTTAAAACAAAATTTTCTGATGTAGCCTAGCTGGAATATTTGTTCAATATTGGGCAAACAAAAGATAGGTTCTGATTGACTTTAACATTGCAAAATATGTATAAAAAGGATTGAAATGTGTCGGAAAAACGGTTTCTTAATCAGTAAGCATGAGTATTAAAAGTAAATTATGAACTTTGAGCCATGCATGCTTTAAGGTGGGATATCCATCTGATAAGTGAGATAACTCTTCTCATAAGAGAGATAACTTTCTTCAGACATTTTGTCATGAAATTCAGTAAATTGTCATGTCAGGGTCTACAAGTTTCCTTCGTAAGGACCATTTTAAAGTGAACGCAATCACACGTATTCTATCGTACAAATGTTGATTTCTAGTTTCTATTGCTAGTATATTTATTAATTATTTATAATAGTTTACTTAAAAAATTACTCTCAGTTCCTTTAAACAGTGTAAATTGAGAAATCTCTAGCTCTTAAAGTATAATTCTTTTAATTGTACATAAATTTCAGATGCAGTTTTGTTTATAAACATTTAATTAATATTTTGTTTCATTAAAAATATTTTCAAGGGCGATAATGGAACAATAACTCTTGTTTATAGATGCGTGTTATTTTACATGCACAGAAAACAATTTGTTATTCTGATTTAAAAAGCAGTGCTTCAGTATGTTTTTCATGATGGGAATTAGATAGGTATGAGAGTAAATTTTATTTTTATATTTACCTCATATTTCTAATTTAATTGTGAGATAAGAAATAATTAATCTTTCTATTTACCATATCAAATTTTCTTCACACCATGATTTGACATATTATTTATTTCCGAAAAAGTAAGCAACGCCACAATTTGTCAACATTCAATAAAGCCAAACCATTGGCATTAGAATATGGATTTTATCTCAAAAAATACTGACGTAATATATAGTTGGCTCAATAAATGTGTGGAGATATACAAATGGTTAAAGGATGTTCAAATATGTCAGAAAATGCAATCTTTTCCAGTTATACAACTAGAAGACCTAAAGAAAAACCAAAATATTGGTACATGGGGTACAGTAAAACATATATACATTTTATACAAACTGGTCAGAGGTACAAAAAATATAATATATACAATACAGAATATGTTACAAAATGACAAAAAATGAAAACGAGAGAGAAACAGGCAATAAGTATCATATAAAGAGAGCAGGTAGAGTCATAAATTTTTAGAATAAACATACATTATTTTTTTCAGAATTTGTTTGTTTTTAGTTGACATAAGTTCTGTAAATTTAATAATATTCGGTCTACTAGAATAATGTTTACCTTGGAATTTTTTTCCTTTCATTTTCCAAAGCTTTGCATTCTAGAATATAGTGAAATTCATCAGCAATTTGACCTTTACTACAAAGTGTGCAAAGTCTTTCAGTGGTATACCACACCACCTTCCAGTTTCTACTGGTAAATGATGGTTTGTGGTGCGAAATTTTAATATAATTTTTTCTAAATTTAGGCGATAATTTACAAAGATAGTTTTCGAATCCAAAGTTTTGTTTCTGATTCTGTAATTTTGTCCTTTTGAAGAATTATTTATATCACTGAACCAACTTTGAATAAATTGATCTTGTAGTATTTGCTTAACAGTAGCACTTATCCATTCATAATTAATACTAGCACCTTGTAGGTTCCATACATTTGATAAGCCACACATGTTACAGATTTTCTGTATAAAGTTTAACCAAGGATTTGTTAGATTTCCATCAATAAAGTTTTAGTTTATATTTTTATAACAAATTTACAATTTTTTTTTGCGGGCCGTAAAAAAGTTTTGCCCATTAATAAATAATTCTACTTTATATTGATATATAAAGAGGAAAACGACCTGTTTCACCATAAACCATATATGATGGCGTGGAACTTTTTAAATTAAATACATGCTTTAAGAATTTCAAATGTAAACGTTCAATAACATCTAGATTTTCATAACCCCATACTTCAGAGCCATAGAATAAAACTGGCATAACAACTTTATCAAAGAGATCAAATTGGCAGTCGACTGATAATTTAAATTGTCTGATTTTTCTGATAATGCCGTACATGTGCTTGTTCATACAGATGTTTTTTGTTTTACGAAAAGAACCAGTACGTGAGAATACAACGCCTAAGTATTTAAAATCTTTCACATTTTGTATAACTAAATTGTCCATTTTGTCTCCATTTTGATGACAATAATTTCTCATATTAATCATTGACGTTTTTACATCGATAAATCCATTGGGTGAGCAAATGCATTAAAATCTATTTAATTTCCGATTTGATGCTTTGCATCAATTTTACTTGCTCCTTTATAGATTTGCCAAGTAGAACATTTTTTTCAAAATGCTACTCCTCCTACAGTTTTGGTTTGATTTCAATATAACTTGGCACACTTAAGTTGACTACACTAAGATACATAATTTTGTGTATTGGTTTTTGATAAACAGTGTTGCCGTGGTTACTAAAAATAGAAAGTTCTAGAAAAAAATTTCTTTGAAAATGCTACTCCTCCCACAGTTTTCGTCTGATTTCAATATAACTTGGCACACAAGTAGACTACACTAAGATACATAATTCTGTGTATCAGAGTTTGATTTCGATGAATGATGTTGCCTTGGTTACTAAAAAAAAATCTGTGAAATACTTTCAAAATGCTAATCCAAATATAATTCGCACCATTTACG